GCGAGTCCTCGCTTGAAGGTATCCACAAAAGCGTTCTGCTTGTCTGTTGCTCTGCGGATGGAACGGCGACGTGCGAATGTGCGTGATCCATCGCGAACGGCAGAACGAAGTGAACTGTGAAGATGTGAACTGCGTTCCATAGTCTGTGACAAGCGTGGCCGGATTTCCGAAACGGGCTAATATGTGCGTCATTGATTGAATCGTGGCTGATGAAGAGATTGTTGACATCTGGACTATTTCAGGCCACTTGGAGTAGGCATCCAACCACCCACGAGGAGGACCAGGTTAATATCGTCCTTCCATCGGTCCGCAAGTACCAGCATGCGCACTTGATCATGGGCGCAAGTCGGTTTTGGCCAGGAATGTAGTTCAGCTTTGACGGGATCCTTGGCAACTGAAGCACATTTGGAGCAGGTCCTGACCATGCGTTCGATGTCGGCATCCAGTGTCGGCCAGTAGACGTAGCTTCTTGCGAGCATTTTCATCCTCGTTTGTCCTGGATGAGCCTTGTGGAGTGCTGTAGAACGCGATGTTGTAGTGATCTTGGAATCACTATGCGGGATGCGGTGAGCAGACATCCGTTCACTGTCGTAAGAGTGTCTCTGCGATTGTAGTAGTGCCATAAAGGAGAGTCGCGGTTGACTTTGGGCCATTTTCCGGATTTCGTGTAGTCGATCACTTCTTGGCTCAGTCGATCGGCTTTCGTAGCGGTCCGGATGGATTCGGCAGATACTGGAAGATGTCGACAGTTTTCTGTGAACTCGGCAGTGACATCGGCGTCGACGGAGGCGATGACGTAATCTTCCGGTATTGACGAGTGCGACGCTATAAGACGAGAGAGAGCGTCCACCTGCCCGAAATCCTTCGTGTTGACGTACTACGAATCGCTAAAGCTGCTTACTTGATAAACATTCGTTAGGCTTTCGCTGAAGACGGTGGCACTGATAGACTAGTATCCCTTCTTGCCTTACCGGATTGATCTGCGAGCGAGTTGGCTTGTGGTCGGTCTTCAGCGTGCAGGGTCGTCGCTTTTCCGATGCGGAGAAAGAGATGAAAGTTCTGCATGGCGAAGATGAGGCGAGTGCTTCCTTCTCAATCTGGCTGTAGTTCTTCTGTGCTGGTGTCAGGCAACGGCTTGCATGGTAGACGACCTTCTCGGATCCATTTGGGAAGCGGTGAGAGAGAGAGAGAGTCGCTCCTATTCCGTTGGAAGCATCGGCACCTACGATGATCGGAAGAGCCGGGTCGTAATGAGTCAGCAGGAGATCCGAGCTGAGTGTTGCCTTGATTTTTGAAGGAAGTTTTGCACTCCGGTGCCCACATGTAGACAGCATCCTCCTACGTAAGGGCGTATAGCGGAGCGCGAAGGTCGTGCGGATCCTTGACGAAGTTGCCGTAGAAATTGATGGAGTCCGAGAAAAGGCTGACTGACGTCTGTTGGAGCGGACATCTTCCGTATGGCTTTGATCTTGTCCGGATCAGGGCGTCGCCTTGCGTGTTGATGACGAACCCGAGGTAGGCGATTTCTATCCGCAGAAATGTGCATTTGTCTAGCCGAACACGGAATCCGTAGTAAAGGATTCGCTTGAACACTGCTTCCAGTTGAGTGTTGTGTTGCTGCCGGTGACCAGTATGTCGTCAAGATAGGCGGCAGTTCCATCTATTTCAGCAACTAGTGCGTCCATGCACTGTTGAAAGGCATGTTCCAGAATGCGGGCTTCACTCCAAACGGTAGTCGATTGAAACGGTAGAGTCCACGGTGCGTATTGATTGTCAGCAGCTTCTTAGAGTCGTCGTCCACTTCCAACTGGAGGTATGCTTCGGCAAGGTCGAGTTGTATCGCAGAAAAGTAACCGTCCTCGTTGAGTTTCGCTGAAGATGTCGTCTGGGGTTGGAAGTGGGTGCTGGTGCTGTTCCAATGCGTCGTTCAGTCCAGTTGAGTAGTCTGCGCATAGTCGGATCGATCCATTTTTCTTCTGAACGGCGACGATTGGTGCTGCCCATTCTGAGTGGTCGATGGGCGTCAGGACGTGTGTAGACACCAGGCGATCGATTTCGTTCGAAATCTTCGGCATAGCAGCGTATGGAACAGGGCGAGCCTTCAGGAACACAGGCTTCGCATTGGGCTTCAGCACAAGTTTAGCAGTCGATTTGGTGCACCTTCCCAGGCCAGGTGTGAAGACAGCTGGGAACTTCTCCGTCAGGCGCGTAGTGAGAGAAGTGTTCAGTGTGCTGAGCATCTTTGACGATACGTTGTAGATCGATCCTTCCGTTAGATGACGGAACAGTTGCTCGTGTTGGGCAATCCACTCTAGGCCCAATAACGATGGCGTGTCGGCTACATAGCAGGTACCTCGTCCTCGTTGACCATCAATGACGAAGTTGCAGTCGTAGCGTCCTCGAACTTTGATCGGCTTGTCGTTGGCAGACTTCAGTGTCAGTCGAGGAGCTGTAGTTTCGGACGACCAAGAGCAATCCAGTCTGCTTCGCTTAGTAAAGTCACGTCTGCTCCAGTGTCGAGACGCATGCGTATCGTCTTTCCATTTATTTCCACTGGGCGATAGATGCGTGATACGGAGGCGACATCAGCATGAGCTGAAGCGATGACGACGTTGTTGGCAGATCTTCGCTTCCGTTGCGGTTTCTGCTTCCTCTTCCTCTTGAAGTTCTTGCAGAATCCTCGTTTGTGGCCTGTCGCTTTGCAGTCGTGGCACGTCTTCTTCAGGAAAGGACATTCCCTCGACCAGTGATTTGCTCCACATCGAAAACAGGGTGAAGGCGGCTCGCGATCCTTGTCCTTTCTGGTTGTGAGAGTCGACGGCGTTGACGTGAGGTGGAGCGGCTCGTTCGAGTAGTGCGGCATCCTGGCGAATGTCGAGGAATTGTTGGATTGTAACAATACGTCGGGCACAATCGAAATATGTAAAAAGTAACTCACCGAGTAACGAATCCAACAGCAGATCCGGTTCTGTAGGATCCATGTTATGAAACAACTTGAAGTGAAGAAAATCAATCCTCTTATAGAAGAAGTAAAAATCGTGCAACGGGAAGGAATTCAATAAAAGCCAAGAGTGTCAGTGGAATGCTCATTCATAAACAATCGCGATAACGTCGACATTGGAACTTGAAGATCGTTTTCAAAACAGCATGATTTGTAAAAAATTTGATCAAAACTGGCATCTATGAAAAGGGTGTTTTGCAAGCGGATGAATTCAATAAAAAGAATACTAGAAATCAATAATAAAACATCATTGAGGAAATAGGGCTAGAGTGTGCTTGCTATTACGAAAACGAAAAGGACGAAAAGTAATGCGACACTTTGACCAAATTTTTCGGACTAAATTTTCCGTCACTAAAAGACATCTCCAATCTACAAGGTAACCGCAGTTGATGACTAGGACTAGTGCCCTTCTTTTGCACAGCTTCTCATTTCCATTCTCATAGAACTACGGCAACTATGATAAAAAGAAGAGGTGGACCTCATTCTCGAGTTGAGGTCGATTTTCGGAATTTGCTTTTTAAAGGATGCGATAGGGACCAAAGGAGGTGGTAATTAGAGGCTGCTAACTTTGTTAAATAACCTGGGTACGGTCGCATTCTCTGATCGAAATCCATGATCTTTTGGCGTAGCCTGATCCCCACATGCGGTCTTCGCATTGCCGAGTAGTAGAGAAAAATTGAGTATTTCTGAATGAATTCAAGCGTGACGTCATCCATATTTTGAAGTGATTAGGTGGACTGACTCCAACACTCGCTACCAACCACAAGATCTCACAAAAGTTCTTTCGCTGGAAAAGAAAACTCAGTCACGGTCATTCGGTATGACTTGTCAGACGGGTCCAACTCATGAGGCATCCTTCACAAAAAATTTTCCCGATAACCGAGATTGCGGAGAAGCATGGCAGTTGTCAGTTAGGTGGAGCCTAGAGAGGTTGCCAACTTACTGGTGGTTACCTTCGGCTGCGCCTCAAGAAGCTTGAGTAAAGGGCCGTCATTCTGTGCTGGTGGGCGACCTATACATTGCCTAACTACGAGTTAAATAAGTCCAGCCTGGAAGCGCTGATGCAAAAGCTACCCTCTGCCATGGCAAGCGATATCCTTCCTCAAGACAACGTAAGTGTTAGCTTCCTCGACTACGGCGGAGTGGCCCTACAGGAACTCATAATATGGGATAGGTCGAAAAGTACCTCGATCTCTGAGGGACTTTTAAGCTTTGAAAACTTCCACAAAGTCATGATATACCCATGTGCAGAAACCCCAGAGGACAGTCTCCACTAATCAGGGATAAAAACATCCAAAATGATTTTTGGTCTTTTTCTAGAACAATTCAATCAAAGTGTCGCATTACTTTTCGAACAACCTAATAAAATCATGCTCTAGAAAATTTGGTAGGTTTGTTAAGACATCTGTCAACCGCAAAACCTCCCGCCTCTTTCTTTTTCCTTCTTTCCTTCTCAATGCGCTCCATTCCCTCGAATTGCTTTTCTAAAATGCGAAGAAATGAATCCCCGGAGCACGTACAACCGCAGTTCGGTATGGGGTTCTATACAGGACACCCTCTTGATTTCTTTTTGAATTTTTCTTCATTGATGGGATCCTTGCTAACTCATTATTACTAATTGAGCCACATAACCCATCAAATTCGAGGCGGACGTTAATTTGACTATTTGCTGTGTGACTTCTTGTCGTGCAATCTCCCTTAGCGTTTCCTTCAGCTTAGTTGTGGCGTCCACGTTTTGATTGATTGACAAATTGATTGCCTGGTCAAAGTCGACATGCCGCACGTAGCTGCACGGCAAGGAATAAGCGAAACGACTCCATTGGTGACCCTGTTGGAAGTTCGTCTGCCAAGCGGCCAGACCTCGAAGATGAAAGGAAGTCATCATTTGATGACGATTTGATTTGACTTCGATGACTTCCCTCACGAAGATCTCTCCAAGTCCTCTACCAAAGAAATTCTGAATGCGATACAGCGAAATAAAGACCCAATTATTGATCAAATGCTTAAGGCACTGGTGACTAAATTGCCGCAAGAGATTTCAGAGGAAATAGACGCTGAGAAGCGAGCCTGCAGCCTGGTAATCTCCGGACTTCCTGAGGCACCGGCTGATCTGCGTCCATCAGCGAAGCAAGGCGACCTTGAGTCTAAAGTCTGCAAGCTACTGGATATTCTTGGAGTAGAATGCAGGCTTTAGAAACGTATCGTCTAGGTAAGATAATTGATTCTCGTCCGCGACTAGTAAAATTGGTTTTGCCATCTAGATCTCACTGGGCAACCGCGCTTTCAAACTCCCGTTTACTGCGCGATTCAGAGTTCTCTAATGTCTACATACATAAAAGCATGACTGCCGCTGAACGGAAACGGGATCATGATCTTAGGATGGAATGCAAAGAACGTAACAGACAAGCTAATACTCGCATCTGGGTAGTATATAGGGGTGAATTGAAACAGTTCAGGATATCCCAAGGTCTCGAGCTGCGGGAAACTTCTAGGCAGCCATGGTTCTCTCAAAGGCATTAGCTGCCTATTATTCAATTCCCGTAGCCTTTTGAACAAGATACACCATCTTCACCTTCTGCTTAGTACAAATGAGCCTGACTTACTCTTTATCAGTGAGACTTGGCTTTCGTCTGAAATTTCGAGTTCTGAAATTATCGGTGGTTTCCCATATCAAATTTTCAGACGCGATCGTAAGGGTCGCAAAGGTGGAGGGGTTTGCTGTTCAGCTAAAATGGTTTGAAGATTTCTTCGGGTATAGTTCCTCCCGACATTAAATCCGATCTCCTCTGTCTTGATATCACCGATTCCATATTTCCAAGAAAAATCAGAGTAATCTTGGTTTATCGGCCCCCAACTTAACAGCAAAAGATGACGATTGCCTGATTGAGACCTTACTCGATCTGACTCTCACTCAAGTCACCCTCGTCCCGGTTGGATATTTTAACCTTGAGGTAGACTGGACTGTTTAATACTGCCAAGAGTTTGGGATCTGCTAGAGTTCTAGAGTTTTCAAAACATGTGGCTTAAAGACAGCCCCGCGCTCGAGTAGTCCATGGTCGTCCTTCCTTGTGCAGGTAGTTCAGCCCCCAAGCTAGATGCTGTCCCACTCTCGCAACTCCACAGTGAGCGAGAAGCGAGCTACAGCCGCTCAAAGTTCTAGTTCTAACGCCCGCTCAGTTGGACCGCCTCACTTGCTAGCTGCCCTCTGACGGAGAGCCGCTCAGTTGTTCTTTGTTGGGACGGCGGGCATTAATCGGGATTGCATGTCATTTTTGCAGACCGCCAATAATCGGGATTGCAAGTCATTTTTGCAGACTGCCAATAATCGGGATTGCAAGTCTTTTTTGCAGACTGCGA